AAGGCTCTGCCGCCCCCCAAGCATCACCCCCACACGGCGACGAGGTGGAAGACGCCTTGCAGATGCGGCAAATTGCCTTTGCTCCTGGTAGGTTCCCCTCTTTTTCTCCTCATTTACGGACTTTTTAAAAATTTGTTACTTGATTTCTTGGCAGTGACGGATTATTTATTTACTCCACTACTCCGAGGGGACGCGTAACGGGTTGTGTTTTACGCCGTCTCCTGCAGCGCCATCTCCAGGGGTTGGGGTTCTCTTCCGCATCTCCAATCAGCGTGGCGGACGTGCTTTACGATGGTGGCCGGCGTGCGGGTCTTTGAGGTTATTTAGGAAAAAAAAACGAAGAAATGCAAGAAGTAAGTAATAATAAATGCACAAATATCAAAATTGGCGAATATAAATAAATAAATATCGATACCCATTTGTTTATCTAGGGATGTACATGTTTGTAATTAATAAAGCAACAAATCAATAAAACAATAAAAAAATTTGTCAATAAGGAAAAAAAGGATGGAGGGGTATATTCATATCTAAATAGATATCTATATATTTTAATTATATAGAATGTTTCCATACTCATATCTATATCGATACATATATATATATATGTACATCAATTGATGTTTATTTTTATATTTATGGTTATATATATATTTTACATTTCTTGTTTGTGGCATTCCAGTTCAGTTGTGTCATTTATTTTTTTTTCCGTGGATCTACACCTACGTTTTTAGGGCGTATAGGCATTCCGTTTCGCATCCAAGGTTGCGTACGCACTGAAGCACCCAGTAGGACAAAAAGTTGCAAGGGGTTTGCGAAGCCCATCCCAATTGAACGTTGATTGCTATCTTCTTTGATCTCCTGAGGAGCCGCAACGCTTGATTCCGTTGCCTCTGCCACCCAACACAATGACAACTTTCAACGAACAGTGCAGGTTTATTGTGCAGTTTTGAGGTGTAGTCCACATCCCTATTTTAGGAATGAACGCACGATGTACCTGTAGAGGATGATGAGGGTCCCCAAAACGAGCCATGGGACAACATGTACTCCAGAACAGGTGTGTGGCGTTGGCCAGAGGAGGTCCTGTGCCAACGGCATCATTGATTGATGGACGGGTGATTTTGAGGCTGGTAGCTTCCTTGCTTTAAGGAATGGAACGGCGCTGGCTGACAAGATGCCACTCGCTATCTGATCTGTCCTGGATGTGGCCTAAAAGACGGTGCGGGCGCATGCAGAGGGGGAAAGGAAATAGGACATTGTGTGGACATGCACGTGGAAGTGTCAGAGCGTCACGATATTCCTCAACAAGTGTGGAGTCCCCGACTTGATGATTCGAGCGTCCTGATAAAACTGTCTGGGTGGAGGTGAGTGCGCTGACTTCCGTTTCAACAAATTTTCCTTCATCTGACAGGCTGCGCGGCTGACGTGGAGGGACACCATGCGCACCTGTTTCCAGCGGGTGCGATGTTGTTTCCCACATTTGAGGGCGATTTCCCTGATGATGTGCTCCGTCGTCCTCACCTGATCCCTTGACGACACGTCGCAACGCGGGGTTGGTGCTGAGCGACGAAAGCCTTCCGTCTCGGTTGGAACCAAAACGGAGAGTCCATGAAGAGGCATGCTGCTCGCGATTGGTTGATGCTTGGCCTGTGACGAGTCTGTTTGCCGCCGTGGAGCATCTCATTCGCCTGATTGCAGCGCCCTCTACACATTGCACAGTTCTCGTGCTCCTGAGTAATGCCGATAAGGGCGGATTGCATGGTGTTTTATTGCTGGAAGGCACTGTGAGGAGGAAAAATATTATTTATTGTTCTTTCTTCTTCCTGGACGAGACGAATCCGTTCTTTGATTCAAGTACGAGTGCCTTGTCGCAGTTCTTGTCGGCCGTTGGTGTGTTTGGTGTTTGTTCCAATCAATGCCTCTCACTGGCGATTCCACGGCCTAATATGGACTGGCGTTGTCGTTCTTGGGCCCACGCTGCTTGGCCCATCAATTATTTGTGCAACTGGACAACAAGTTCTCTGTGGTTGTGGATCATGTTTCGCGGAATATTGCCACAAAAGCTGCTGAGCGGGCTGGTGGTTGTCGCGTCCTGCATGACTCTGACGATGTTCTTGCGGATTTCACTCTGTTGCGTGTAAATGATGTTACATCTGTGCCTCGTCGTGTGGCAGAGGCCTGAACCAACGGAGAATAGAGTGTTGTGATAAAACACTGCACAGACAACCCTCGTGTTGCTCATCGTTATGCTCGTTCTCACTGCGGTCCTCGACGTGGGAACATTTTATTTTGTGCGGTATGGAGGGCACTCCTCCGCTGGCATATCGCCGTGTGGTGGTCTCTGGTTCAAAGGACCCTGTGGAATACTTTGTGAGGGCGAAGGGTGATGGCAGGACTGTCATGCCCACACGGAAGAGGACGAGAACAGGCTGGTTGATGTGCCATGTAACACTGCGCTCGATTGCGTCATTGGATGCGTGCAGAGCAGGTGGCTCTCCGGTGTCTGTTGGCTTCACGGCCAACCCGCTGGCCCCTTCTGAAGGGCATTCAAGAGCATTCGTTCTCTGAGGGTGTTTCTGCTGTGTGGCCCGAACACTGCAGTGCCCGCTCCATTTGGCTTTTTCTTTGGTGAGAGGATGGTCTGTTACACTTTTTGGGCTCCTGTGGAGGGGGAGGGTCATGGGGCAACATGCCCACCGCTTCGGTGTTGGTGCACCGCGTACTTGCAGCCGCGTTACGCAGGAGGCATAATTCTCCGTTGCAGGATGGAGGCAACGTGCTCTTGTCCTTTCACAGCAATGCGCGGTCTTCTTGTTATTTATTTTTAGGCTTTTCTGCAGGACAACGAGTTTGTAAATGGTTACGAGGGATGTGTGACTGCAGGGTTTGAGTGCCGCTTTGGTTTTTTCTGACGGGCAGTGTTGAGGAATTACAGGCGCTTGCAGATGTCATCGCCGGTGTGAGGGCAGGTGTTTCAGCTGCCCGAAGCGCGGCTGTTGGGAAGACGAGTTTCACTCTTGCAGCTGAGGCAGGCATCGACGAGGCGAATGTGCTTGCTCACCACCCTACTTTCTGTACTGTTTTGCCGCGACGACTGGATCTGATCGCCAGCCACGTTAGGCCGTTGCCATGTGGCCGCAACGTTGTCTCGAAGGGGTCGAGAGGCCGCAGGGCACGGCATTTGCATTCATTTGTGGAAGTGTCACGGGGGAGAACATGCGAGCCTCTTGGCATTTGACATCCCGCTGTCTTTTGACGCCATATTCGGTGAGTCCGTGGGTACTGTCTGGTGCTCCTGCCTTTTACTGGATGATTGGAACTGCTGAGATGTGGAGGGTATTTGCTGCGCCTTCTTTTGGTATATTTTTCGCACGCCGTGCTCGAGATGGTTTTCGATTGCCGCATTGCATGGGGTGCTGCAAGGCGATGCATTATGCCATGCGATTGTGCGGTGGCTGCCGTGCGGTGGAAATATTTGACGTCGTTGAGAAGCCCTTTGAGGGTTGGAGTGGCGATCCTCCGGCGCGGGTGATCACTGACGGGTTCACACGCCCCTTTGAATTTGCTGTCCCTTCTTTGTACTTTCATGAACTGGCCGCGGATATTGCGGAATATATTCAGGTTGCTGCGGTGCTCCATACATTCAAGGTGTTGTCCTCCGCGCCGTCAACCGCGGCAGCTGACCGACCGGTGTCTTTGAAGGATTCGGGGGAGGATCCGTCCAATTTGTTCTGCGGCTGGAGTCGCTTCCTTCATTTCTGTTGGCTAGACACGCCCACACCGTCACTTTGCGTTCTCTTCCCCCAATGGGAGGAAACGGTGATGACGAACCTTGAGAGACGGTGGCTTTTTTTGTTTCATCGCTGAGGCATCTGTCAGCGGCAGTTGGTGCATCAACCCTTCCTGAGGGCGGGCAACACAAACTCTGTGGCCGAGACGATTTGGATGGGAGTTCACAGGGGCAGAATCCGCGCCTTATTTCCGTGCTTGTGCCGATGGAATGCAATTATTTGGCCCTTCTTGTGATGCCTCGTGTGTGCCACGACACCACATTGAGGAGAGCACGAGGTGCTATTGTGCGTGCTATTTTTTTGGTCGCCACTGCTCTTTTTGGGTGTGTGATTCGACTGTGTGTTGGGTCTGTTGAGGGGAGGAAGTGGATGGGCCGCGCTCATCCGACCGCTGGGCCTCATTTTTCTGAACGCCCTGACCGAATTGCTGTTCTCCTTTTGCTTGCTTTACCGAGCCTGGCGACCTCTTGAGGAGCGGCGCGTCGGCGTGGACTGTCAGGCTGCTGAGGAGGCCGTGGCTGCGCGGGATGTCCTGCGGTATTTTTTTGCGTTTCGGGACTACTGTAGAGAGGAGGACATTTCATGCCTCCTCCACGTCCAGGAGAGTAGATGGAGGGATCGCGGTTGTGGGATCGCACCTCACGAGTGTCTGCGCTCGTTGATCGCGTCGACGGCGCGCTCTGTGTGTCTTCGACCACTGCCGGAGCATCCCGCCGTTTTTCTTCCGGCGAATGGGAAAATCCACCGACACGCCGAGGGGGTTGCGGGGGATGTTGCAGCGAGGAACGCCTTAAAGGCTCTTCAGTTACGGTGCGCTGCTTGCAAGGATCCCGCAGCACTTGGGATTTTGCTCGCACTTACTTTCTGCTGTCTGTCTGTTGGTTGGTGCCGTTTGCCGGAGAGCGTCTTGGCCCGTGCGCAACCGTCAATTTCTCTGCTTCTGTGTGTGGCCTCACAGTGCTTGAGCCGTTGTGGACGGTGAGAGTAATTACTGTGGCGGTTACGACGACTCTGATGTGTTACACTGCAGATGGTGGCGCCACCCACTCCTTTACCACGTTCTTTTTTGATGCTTTTTAAATATTAATTTGATTTCTTCATTTCTTTCACACTTTCTTACGAAGAAAGCAAACAAGCACTAAACGCTACTGTGAGATTGTAGGGCTTTGAAAGGACTAACACCACACACACCGTCCACACACACATATTCATATGCTCTCACGTGTTGCTGCGGTGAAGGCACCCCGCACACACAACCGTCGCCGCGTGACCGGATCCAGCGGAAGGAGGAGGGAAGGAGGAGAGAGTGAGCCGCAGAGGCCCAACGTTTCCTGGCGTGCGTTTACTTCCGCGGTGCTGCTCCTCCTCTTCGTGTTGTGCTGCGGTGGAGCTGCGACCGCTGAGGTGGAAAAGGCCACTGATGCCTCAACTCCTTCTGGGTCGGCATTGACGGGTGCCATTACTGCAGAGGGGAGTGCTTCAGGGGGTGTTGAGAGGCTGCAACGGGTCGGTCTATTTGTGCCGCAGACGACGCAGGTGCTGCCGAAGATGGGGACTGACTCAGGTCTGAGAGATTCATTTGTTTCACCCTCTCTTGTGAGTGCTGGTGGAGTAATTGCTGCTTTTGCCGAGGGTCGCATAAATGCCAAAAACTCCCATAACGAATCAACTAAGCCGTCTTCTGATGTTGTTGCGGAGTACATCGACTCTGCGTGCGATTGGCCCGCTCTTGTTGAAAAGGTCAAAGAGGAAGGATGGAGGGCACACACTGTGCTTGGTAAAGCGGGGGGAAAAGAGGGTTTTGATGTTGTGCGCCACCCCACAACAATTGCGAAGGGCGACACGGTGTTTCTTCTTGTGGGAAGCACTGCCTTGTCCGATGTAAATGGGAGTTGGAAAGAGGGCAGCTTGGAACCAAAACTGGTTGTTGGTGAGGTCACGGAGCCTTCGGGCGGCGAGCCAAGTGAACGGATCAAATGGGGCGACCCCAAACCACTCCCGAAAAGGATCTCTTCTGCTTCGCACGAAGGTAACTTGACGGATTATATTGCTTCTGGTGGCTCAGGTATTCTGATGGAGGATGGCACGCTTGTGTTTTCAATGATGGCGAAGAATGAAAAAAATGAAGTTAACGTTTACTCCATGATTATTTACTCGAAGGACAACGGCAGTACCTGGTCGCTCTCTAAGGGCATTTCCCCTGCGGAATGCGGTGCACCCCGCATCACCGAGTGGGAGGGATCACTTCTCATGATTGTTGACTGCAAGAATGGCCAGAGGGTGTACGAGTCGTGTGACATGGGGACAACGTGGACGGAGGCCATCGGGACACTTCCAGGCGTGTGGGTCAACTCACAACCGGGAGACTATCCGGAAGGAGTCTTGCATGTGGATGCCCTCATCACCGCGACCATTGAGGGCAGGAAGGTCATGCTGTACACACAGAGAGGACACGCCTCGGGGGGGAATAAGGCAACTGCGCTCTACCTTTGGGTGACGGATAACAACCGCTCGTTTTATTTTGGACCGGTTGGCATGGACAGTGCTGGGGAGAAGGAGGTCGCCAGCAGCCTGCTCTACTCGGATGGTAAGTTGCATCTTTTACAACGGAGTATAAATGGTGAAGGCAATGCCATTTCATTTTCCCGCCTGACGGAGGAACTGAGTACAATCAAGTCCACCCTCAGTACTTGGTCGCAAAAGGACGTTTTCTTCTCCAACTTGTCTATACCCACGGTGGGTCTGGTGGCAGTTTTGTCAAACGCATCGGCCAGTGACGACACGTGGAACGACGAGTACCTTTGCCTGAATGCGACGGTGACGAAGGCCACGAAGGTCAAGGATGGGTTTCAGTTGACGGAGCCTGAGTCCGGGGTAATATGGCCTGTGAACATTCAGGGTAATAATGTGCGCCATGTGTTTTTGAGCCACAACTTCACACTTGTGGCGTCGGTGACCATCGAAGTGGCTCCGAGTGAGAAAACTCCTCTACTGACTGCGACGTTGGCGGACACTAATTCCCCGCTTACCATGGGAATCTTGTACACCGCGAATAAAAAGTGGATGACGATTTTCAATGATAATGTAACAGAAAGTGGCAGTTGGGAGTTAGGGAAAGAATACCAAGTGGCACTCATGCTGCAAGGCAAAAGGGCCTCTGTGTACATTGATGGTGAGTCGTTGTGGAAGGAAGAAGTGCCGTTAACAGATGAGACGCCACCTGAGCTTTTCGCTTTTTGCTTTGGCGCGTGCGGTGAGGATGATGATGAGGTGAAGTCCAGTCCGAAGGAGATCGTCAAAAAATCTCTTGTGACGGTGACGAACGTCTTTCTGTACAACCGCCCACTGAATTCCACTGAGATGAATGCAATCAAGGACAGGAAACCCGTTCCGAAGAGAGCTCCAGAACCACGGGTAAAAATTGCTCCCAAACCTGTCGCACCTGTTGTACCTGTCGCACCTGCTGGACCTGCTGGACCTGCGGTGCCTGCTGCACCTGCTGGACCTGCGGTGCCTGCTGCATCTGCTGGACCTGCGGTGCCTGCTGCACCTGCTGGACCTGCTGGAAATGAAGGGACGGCACGAGAAAAGGGTGATGGTGGGGCAAATGGTGATGCTGGTTCCGCGTACGGGAGGGAACTGCTGCCGCTGCTGCTTCTGCTGGGACTGTGGGGCCTTGCGACTGCGTGAGGAGTGTGCGGCCTCAGTGTGGAGCACTTGTGCCATTCCTCACACCGACGCACATCCGGTAATGAATTAATCTCCGCAATTCTTTTTTTTTTTTTCTCCCCCTTTCTTTGCTTTTTGCCTTGGGGCAACCAATCTGAACGGTTTTTTTTTCATTTTTAATGGTTTAAATTGTTTAAATTTTTAATTTTATTTTTCATTCCCCATCCCTTCTATTTTTTGCTTTTGGGGCAATCACTATGGACGTTTTTTTCTTTTCTACTCTTCCCTCTTTAATTGTTTGTTGCTGCACTCTTCGTGTGAGGGGTGCCGTGTGTTTCCGCCCAACTGCTCCACTCGCACACCACCGACACGCTCATGACGACGGCCCTGTGCGCCTCGCCTGCTGCACGCATGAGGAGGGGCCGCGACGAACGGCGCGCTGAGGGAGCCGTGACGTGTGGGCGTGCGACGAGGGCCTGTGGGGCGGAGCACACATTTCTTCCCTCTTGTTTTGTTTTCTTGCGGCCAGGGCTGGCAGACACCCGCAGCGCCACACACACACACAGCCACACCCTGCCGCCGTGTTTTTCTTTTGTTCTTTTTTTTTCTCGTGTTTATTTCATGCGGTGGCGCACCCTTCGGTGTCGGCCTCGTGAGCATTTCTCTCTCCTTCTGATGATTTCTTTTTTTTGCTGCGCTCACTCTCCCGATGGAGAGACGCGACTCCCGTCGTGTCTGCGTGCTTCTCTCAGTCCACACAAACACGAGTGACTGTGCTCTGCGGGCCGCACTCACACGCCGATGAGAGGGCTGAGGGGAGCAGCAGCACGCAGATGACCCCGTGAAATATAAACGATGTGCGGACACACGGAGGGTCGGACGGCTGAAAGACATTTAAATATCTTTTAATTTTATTTTTGGGCAAAATAAAAAAACAGTTTGGTATGGTCACACGGTAACCGGGTGAAATTTTTTTTGTGCGGCTTTTCTTTTTCTTTTTCTTTTTCTTTATTATTTGGGTGTAGCCGTAATAAAGGACGACATTTTTCATTTTTTTTTCTTTTTTCATTTTTTCCATTTTTTTTTCATTTTTTCTTTTTTTTCAGGGTGTGAGGTGTGGAATGGTGAAGAGTTTTTTTATTATTATTTTTATTTAATTTTTTATGAATTGCCGCTGCTTTGGTCCGCAGTGCAATATCATGAGCTTGAGCAGTCCTGTTATTTCTGCCATGCACTTCTGCTGTACAGTTTTTTTTGTCTCTTTAAATGCTCCGCTCTTCTTTTTTACTTTTTTGACTTGTGCTGCTGCAGGCACACACACACAGACACACAAAATGCAGATTTCAGTGGATTTGGATGCTACTTTTGTAGTGTGTGCTGGTGGCTGCCGCCTCCTTCTGTGGGCATGAAGCGAGGGGAGGAGAGGGATAGCACGGCGAGTCACTTTTCCTGCGGGTGTGATGCACCACCTATGACCGCCTTGAGTCGGGCATCAAATTCCATTGTGGGTGGAATGGCTGGAAATGTTGTTGCCGCGTCATGGATGGATGAGGAATCGCTTTTGCGTGCGGCTCTTTGGGTGATTGCTTGCTCCGTGTGCATTGTGTTGGCTGCGGGCTGTGGCTGTATCCCGTTGGCTGTGGGATTGAACTGGAGGCGGTGGTGGTGTGTGCGTTTGTTGTGTGGAGGACCGAATCTTTTCTTTCGCGGACTGGCGGCGCTGCGATGGTGTGTGTGTGTGTGAGGGCTGGTGTGGAGTTGCCGGCTAGGGCGAGGGCCGTGGCGGTGCTTTTCCCGCAATTTGTTTCTTTTGTGTGTTTGTGCTGCTTCTTGCTTTTCCTCTGTCATCCTCTCCTCCTGTGTTCCTGCGTGGAGTGGCTGAATGCTCACGGGCCATGTTGATTGTGAGTGCCTCCTGACGGCATCCATCTCTCTCTCTCTCTCTGTCTTTTCCTGTTGGGTGCGAGGCGTGTTGCACCGCGTGAGGGCTGGCCCGCACACACCGACGGCCCGCCGTGACTTGCCGTGTTGCTGCTCTTTTCTTTGGGCGATGGTCCTCCGTGCTTTCTCTTCCGGATTCTCTTGTGCCCCACTCTCTGCGTGGTTGCTCTGCTCTGCTCCTCACTGACCTTTCTGATGTATTGCCGCTGTTGCTGCTGTACTCTCCACTTCTTGAACACAGTCACACACTAGGAAAGAAAGAAAACACGCGCTAAACGCTACTGTGAAATTCGAGGTCTCTGAAAAGACCAACAACAGCACATACGCCGCCCACACACACATATTCATATGGTCTCACGTGTTGCTGCTGTGATGGCACCCCGCACACACAACCGTCGCCGCGTGAGCGGATCCAGCGGAAGGAGGAGGGAAGGAAGAGAGAGTGAGCCGCCGAGGCCCAACATGTCCCGGCGTGTGTTTAATTCCGCGGTGCTGCTCCTATTTGTCGTGTTGATGTCTTGCAACAGTGGATTTGCGGCCGCATCGACGGGGGAGAATCAATTGATTGCGCGGCTGCCGTGGGTGGCTTTTATTTTTTTCCGGGACGAACGCATTTGGAACCGAAGGGTGGGACTGGTGCAAGAGGAAGGAGGGATTCGTTTGGATCGCTCGCTCTTGTGGGTGTTGGTGGACTGACGGTTGTCTTTGATGGGGATTAAACGACGCTTAATGATAGCGATGGGGCACCGAGTGAGCTTTCTCATGCGGATATTTTGGCGGGTTCCATCTTTTTTGCGTGGAGTTTGTCGTATTTTTTGGTGAGTTTAATAATGGCCGGAATACACACATCGTGTTGAGCACAGCGAATATAAAGGGTGGTGTAGGCTCCGCGTCCAATCCCACGGCAATTGAGAGCGGCAATAGGGCGTTTCTCCTTGCAGGAAGCTAGCAAAAGTTTGGTACGAATGGTGGGTTCAATTAGGCGTTGAGAGACCGTGATGTTCAACTGGTTGTGGGTGAATTCACGCAGCCCAATGACGGCAGAAGGAGCGAGCTGATCCACTGGTATGAACCCAAATTGCTGTGATCACAGATCTTTCCCGAGACTCACGAACGCGGCGCGAATGAATTGAATGTTTTTTGTGGCTCAGGTGTTTTGGTGAATGGCACGCTTGTGTCCCCGTGATTGCGTACAATGACGAAAAAGACGATTTCTCCATGATAATCTGTTCGACGGACGGCGGCAGAAGCTGAGTGCTTTCAAGGGACATTATTCCTGCGGACTGCATTGACCTTCTCATTGCCGAGTGGGAGCAGGGACAACTTCTTGTGATTACTCATTGCTATGGGAGCCGGTACTGCAGAGTGCACGAGTCACGTGACAAGGGGGCAATGTGGGTGGAAGTACCCGGGGCAATTGCAGGCTTTTGGGCCAATTCACAATCGGTTCTTTGGGAAAAGAGCTTGCGTGTGGGAGCCATTGTCACTGCGACCGTTGGAGGAAGGAGCGTCATGCTGTAGGCTCGGGAAGTGAGCTCCCCGTGGTGGGAGAGTGAGGCCCGTGCGCTCTACGTTTGGGTGACTGACAGCAACCGCGTGTTTTGTGTTGGACCGGCTTCTATGGACACTGTTCTGAATAAGCTGATTGCCAACGTCCTGCTGTACTCGGATGGTGTGTTGCACCTTGTGGGAGCGAGGCACAATGAAGAGAAAAGCAGCCTGTTTCCTTCCCCCCTGACGGAGGCGTTGCAGATGATCACTTCCATCCCCCGTAATTGGGCGGACGTGGACGCTTCCTTCTCCGCGTCGCCCGTAATTACGGTGGGTCTGGTTGAATACCTTTCCAACGCAGGCACTGCCAACACGTGGATCGAATAGTGCCGTTGCGTGGTTGCAACGGTGACGAATGGCATGAATGTCACAAATGGGCCTCAATTCGCAGGGCAACATTGCCCCGTGAACCGTTGGGAGGATAATAATCACTGTAGCTTTGTGAATTAAAACTTTGCTCTTGTGGCGACGGTGGCTATCCGCGAGACACACGCAGGCGTCAAGAATATCCCTTTGATTGGCGCGAAGGAAGCAGGCCGCACTGTGCACTTTTGACTGTCGCAAAGCCATGAAAGTTGTTGGGGATGTGATGTTCAACGCAAACAGACACACCGGCTTTTGGGAGTTGAACAAACAGTAACGAGTGGAGCTCACGCTGCAGGACCACCAACAAGGCCTTCGTATAGATCAATGGTGAGTGTGTGTGGGATGCTGAAACGACATCATCATCGGGAAAGGGGCCACGCGCGAATTCACACTTTTACATTGGAGGGGATGGGAGCAGTGCGAGCGACACCGGGAGCCAAAACAAGTATGTGACAGTGACGAGTGTCTTTCTGTACAACCGCATATTGACCCGGGAAGAAGCCGCAAAAGTTGGTGCCAGCAACCTTGCTCCTCCATAGTCTCTTTCTGGGAAAATGCTTGAAGGGCCGGATGATCCAGCGGGAACTGGCAGTGGCTCCAACGATGGAAACGCCTCTCAGCTCACGAACAACACTTTTTTGGAGAAGGGCTCTAGTGGCTACGGCACGGTGCGTGTGTGTGTGTGCCTCGGGTCTTGTTGCTTCTCCTTCTGGGGCTCTGGGCATTGCAGCTCTCAGCTGTGTGAAACGGTGGGAGTGGAGCCGCGACTCCCCGTGGAAAAGGGTGTGCAGCTCCTCAGGAAGACTCAATGCACTCCGTTGAGGACTTTTTATTTATCCCTTTTGTTTTCTCCTCTGGATATAATGTGCTGCTGGTGCTTTGTAGGAGGGATCAGAACCCCTGTCTTTTTACTATTTTTTAATTTATTTTTTGTTTGCCGCTAGCTGCACACTTTCATGAGTGACGTGCTTCCCCCTGTTTTATTTGCTTTTGTTGCACCGCACGCGGTGCCGGCCTCATTGCTGTGCAGTCCCGCGGACTGTACAAAACGAGGGGTGGAGGAAGAGGCCGAGTGCCTCATGAAATGTGAGGGATTTCGTGTGGACACGTGGAACACTGCGATCTTTTTTTCCCTCTGTAAAAAACATATGGAGATGCACAAT